ATTTCCTATCTGCTGAATGAAGATGAAAGAATTAACTTGTTTGTGTATATCTTTTGCTGATAAATATAAATTCTAATGGAGAGACTTCTTCTTTCCATTATTGTTGGCACCAAAGCTAGTAGAGTGAAATTATTAAGATCAACAACTATGGAGTCCCCTCTTATGGGTTTGAATCCTGCCTCTGCAGTGACCTTTTTGAAGTTATTTCACTTCTCTGGACTTCAGTTTCCAATTTCTAAATTGTGAATAATACTTACCTATTAAGATTGTTGGAAGGGTGGAGCCAGGTGTAGTGTGGGGTAGTGTCACATGCCTGTAATTCTAGTGACTCCGGAAGCTCATGCAGGAGGATTACAGTTTTAAGGCTAGCCTCAGAAACTTAGCAAGACCCTAAGCAACTTAGTTGAGACCCTGTTTCAAAATGAAAAAATAAAAAGGACTGGAGATATGGCCCAGTGGTAAAGTGCTTCTGAGTTTAATCCCCAGTACCAAAGGTGACGGGGGAAGGAAGACTGTTGATTGTTGTAAGGTTAGAATCAATTAATGACTGTGAAGTATTTGTAATAGGCCCTGATGTGGAATAATGCTTAATAAAATGCTATTATACTGTTAGTAGTACTCTTACCACCACCTTAATCATGATTTTTACCTTGATGATTGGTGCTCTGCATGTAATAATCGAGAATAAGTAGCCTACAGAATCAAAGTAGACTGCTGCTGGGGGAAGGCAGATGTTGGCTAGATTTATTCAGAAACTATGTGGATAATAGGCAGTCCTTGTTTGGCCCAGTTATGATATGTATGAATATCTGTTGTCATGGTTTAGTTAAATAACTGTATCCACTTGTCTGCAAAGTTCAAGTTTGTGTTATTGTAGTGTATTAACTGTGAGTGATTACATGAAATACAAACTTTACTGTTACCTCTTCTTTCCATAAGTCATAATGTAAATACATGATCAGTCACTGTGTCACTTTTTTCAAAGTGATAGGTCTCAGTGTGTACTGTTATTCAGTTAACTTACAGACTGCAAAGCATGTTGCACTGCTTCCTTGTCTCCTAGTGATAACTCCATGTGACATTTCACAAAAAATGGAAAACTGAAAGAGAAAACTTGGCACCCGAGATAAAAATGTAGCAAAGAAGTGAAAAGTAATAGAAGATATGAAAATGGTGATAGTAAATATGAAGACAAGCTGAGACCTAGGTGTCCATGAAGCTGGGATGTGAACCATACTGAAGAGGTCTGCTGAATTCAAAACACATGATAAAGTCACTCCAATGTCTTTTAGTTTAAATTTCTCTTGGAATAGGAAGCTGCTCATGGTTGAATTGGAGTAACTCAACTTCTTTTGGTTGAAGACTAGTAAAAAAATTACAATAAGTTTTGCTAGCATTGAAGCCAAGTAAAGCTAGTTACCACATTGAAAGGGAATGGTATTACTAGGAGACTGGAGTTCAAGCATTTCTTCAGCTAAATTTTGAAAGCAATATGACATAAAGAATACAATTGAAAATATTCAGACATCATGTCAAGAAGCAACAATGAACAGTATGTGTGTAGTGTGGCAACATCTGTAGTACACTGTAGAAATAAATTTTGAGGATTTGAATAGGACACATGCAGAGTTAAAGTAGTGACTGATTCTCTGTGGGAATGTTGACACTGCTGCTATTCAAGGGACTCTAGATAAGCAGCTGAGGAGCTTAGGGAAGATGAACCTATCAACATGAGTACGGACAGTGGTTCTGTTGAAGGTGGGGGGAAAGAATGTCTCAGAAGTGACTTTGGCAAAATCTTCACATTAGAACAACTTTTGGATATTTTACAACATCGAAAATGCAAAGACTAAATGGAAGCTGATCCAAATTCAGAAAGGAATATGACAATTTCATGTGAGGCACTTGGTTCCATCCTTAGCACCACATAAACATACATAAAAAAATAAAAGAACAATACCTTTGTGTCCAACTACAACTAAAAAATAAATATTTAAAATAAGCCGTAAATACAATAATGAAGTAGTGTTTGGCTTAAAGTTAAAACATTTGATAAATAGGAGCTTCTATAGTTAATATATTTATTGATATAATCTCATTTTCAGGAGGTTTGATTTCAGTTTTTGAGTCAGGTCAGCTATTTACTGTATAATAAATAATGTCTAGTGTGGGTCCATTCCTCTTTATTAACATTCTGTACTTACAGGCACCACAGAACTTGGTATATCAAATTGTAATTGCCTGTTTACTTATTTTCCTTTCCTACTAGACTGTGAAAGTCTTGAAAAAATAGGTGGGATATGAGTTTGCTTTCTACCTTACCAAGTAAGTTTATAAAAGAAGGTTGAATGCTTTGAATTCCCCAATGAACTGCTTAATCTTCACATTAGGGGTTTATGTTTCTAATAATATCTACCTAATTCCCTACACATTATTCCTAATAGATCTTGCGGGTCTCCATAGGAAGCCTTGTATGCTCTAATGAAGTATAATTTTGGAAATTACTAATACAGTTTGATAGAAAAAAATATGTGATTTTAGTGCTAGAAGAAGTAAATTTTAGTGCCTCTCCCATTTTCTAGAAGAGGAAGCAGAAGCCTAAGGGACTAGGTGCTTTCTTTAAGGTCACACTGCTGGTTGGTGGCAGGAATTTTTAAATTCATAAGCCAGGAAGAGTAGTACATTAAAAGATCATCAGGCTAAGGTTAATAAGTATTGCCATTTAAGGGAAATTCAAACCTCTAAGGCTCTTTTTGTGGTAAAGTTTGATATAGGAATATTATGCTAAGAAAATATAAAATTTTATCCATTTTACTTGGATGTGCTTGAGAAACAAAATAATATAAAATTTTAAATTTTAAAAAGAGCCAGAAGAAAGAAGAGAGGATAATTTTAAACTGTAAGCATTGGTTCCAAAAGGGATTGAGGGACATGGAGAAATTAATATTTTTCAAACGTACAGTGCTTTGGTATTTGTTAACTTATTACGATGAGTGTATAATAGCTTTGTAACTTAAGCAACCTTATAATAGTTAAAAAACAACAAAACACCATAATATACCCATGGGAAATGCAAGCTTGAGCAAAGTTTGCAAGAAAGTAGGAGACAGATCTGTCCTCATTAACCTTAGTTGAGGAGACCAAATTTTACATCTGGAAAAGAATTAACTCTTTTATTAAAGGCAATAATACTGTTTAATACCGTGAATTGTGTGATTAATTTCATTAAATTTATATAGACAGTATTATAGGAGTTTATAGGCAAGAGATTGTAGCAGTATTTAGTAATCGTATTTAAGTTTTGAATACTAGAGTATAATTATTTCTGTTATACTAGATTATATTTTGTTCAATGATACAATGATATCTTTGAAAGTTATCATCAAAACTTATAAATTTTAATTGTGGTATATGTCCAAGATAAAGTTGGATGCCAGAAGACAAGCTTGAACAAAGGATCCTCAAGCACTCACAGGACATACGTATTTACTACTTCCCTTGCATGTATTGGAATAGGACTAGGAACAAAGCTTGTTCAAGGAAACGAAGACCATGCTGCTGGGAAAGTGAACTTCAGGAAAACAACAAGAATTAGATTAAGGGTTGACACAAGCTATCACTATTGTGAAGTTTTAAAAAGTGTTATGTTTAATATAGTTACATTCTTTACTCTTGTGTAACTCCATAGCATATCTTCAGATTTTGGGAAGATATGATGAAAACATTATTAAGTATGAGTATGCATTGTTGGCAGAGGAACGCTGTACAGATTACATGGCTTCTTGATTTATGGAACATGTTTAATAGCAGTATGAATTTGGGTGAATTGTTTAACTTCTCTGAACTTTACTCTGCCAACTTATAGAATGGAGTTAACAATAGTCTTATAAATTTAAAAATCTTAGATTTAGGTGAATTTTAGTGCTTATGAAAATGATTTACAAATGAAGTGGTGGTGTTGGTAGGATTCCTGAAGCTTCTCTAGCATCAGGAAGCACAGAGTAAGTAGTTCATATAACTTTTTTTGTTTCTTTTTAAAAATATATTTTTAATATATATATTATTACTATGTGTCATAATTATACATAGTAATTGGGTTCATTTTGACAAAATTGTTGCATATAAGGAATTTGATTTTGAGCTACATTCTCTACCCTTTTTCCTCCCTCTCCTCCCACCTCTACTCTATAAAACTTCCTTTCTTCTACATATACATAAAAGTGAAATTCCCTTTGGTATCTTTATAAATGAATTTAATATGATTTTGTTAAATTATCCTATTTGTCTTCCCCTTTCCCTTCCTTCCTCCCTCACTTTTGTTCATATAACTTTTTTTTAAAATGGTATTTTTTTTAATATTTATTTTTTAGGTGTAGATGGACACAACACAGTGCCTTTATTTTTATGTGGTGCTGAGGTTTGAACCTGGATCCTGTCCGTACTAGGCGAGCGATCTGCCGCTGAGCCATAATCCCAGCCCTTTGTTCATATAACCTTTATTTAAAAAATCTGAGGATTTTTTGAGGGTTAAGGTTTTACTTTACTTTCTGTTAATCTGATCTGATGCAGAGAGAGCTCAGTGTCTTAGACTTGTTTTCAGAAATTTAATTTTTAATTTTGCTGGGTTAATTGATCTTGACCTATGTTTTTGGAATAACTTTAAGGCAAAGAAAATCTCTTTTGTATTCCTAGAAACTAATTCCAATCTCACTACCATATTTTCTTACAGTCAACAAATTGTGGCCATTTTTATGAGGGTTTCTGAATTTGGTTATCTTTATATGCAAAATAAAGATCTGGAAATTTTGATAACTTATTTTTATGGGATTGTATTATATAGCTTAATGAATTCTTATTTTTGATGTTCTTAAAAAAGCTAAAGTTATTTGGAAGTACAGAGCTCACATTGTATACTTATTATAAAAAGGTTTTTTGCTCACTGGGCTTCTATATATTCTTGATACCTTATTTCTCCTTTTTTCTTTCCCCAATATTTTCAGATGTTTTGGAATGTTGTTAAGCCCAGGTCGAAACGTGAAGAACAGTGACATGCATTTACTGGATATGGTAATAATAATCTTAAGCACTTTAACCAAGTATAGATACTAGTTATTTTATATTTTTAGAGCATTTTCTATTTTGTCATGTTTTCAGAATTGTTTATTTTAGCTATGTAGTATTAATAATTAAATTTGGATACTGAAACTTAAATTATGAGGGAGGGATTTAGTATACTTTCCTGTTAAACAAGCATAGGCTAGTTGAAAACAAAACAAGGATAGTGTTATGATAATGTCCATCTGTTCATCTCTTTCACTTAGGAAAATGTCTCTTCTTTGATCTTAAAATATTAAGTATATGATTTTAACAAGCATCTCCAAAGTGTATATGGTGCCTTTATTTTAATGCACTATTAATTAGAGTACTGTGATGTTTTCTTTAAAGCATTTCCCTGTCTGAATTTGTCCTTGATTATGTGTCCTTAGCAAAGTATATTTGCTTAATTTCAGAAGTGCCCTTAAAGATGAACACAGTATTTGGTGTAAAAGTAGCAAGCCATCTTAACTTTTAAACATCTTTTAAATTCTAAGATTGCATTTAATGAAAACTTTTGCTTTGTGACTTAGAAATGTTATATAGGAAATAATTACCTTCATAAAGCATTAATTTTCCTAATTAATAAACTGAGATTTTTATGTTTAGTGGTAAGAGGTATTACATTTTTTTTCTTTCAGCTGTCCTTTGTGCATGTCACTTAATTATCATTAATTATGTCAAGTTCTTTGAATTATTTCATGATAATGTTAATGCTGATTTTTTAGTAGTTCTGGAATGCTTCATTCAGGCTTTGGGAATTTGTGTGCCAGTCATTGTGCGAAGTGATGGGATTGTAGATGTGAGTGGAATGTAGCTCTCTGTCATCTGGGGTTCATAGTCTTGTGATGGAAACAGACTTTTAAAGTATGTACCTGCAGCAGTGGGTTAAGTGGTCTCTCTCGTGGTACAGTGGGTCACAGAAATATATTGGTCAGGTAAGGGCAGCCAATTACACTGAATGTGGAAACAAATTAGTTATTGATCCTTCTTTCTTCTATCCCTCTCTGCAACATATCAGTAATGAATGTGGTTTTACCCTAGAAAAGCCATAGCATTCTGGAGCTCTGAAAATTCCATGTGGAGGTAATTGGGGAGCACTGAGGCATTAAAAACTTTTAACATCCTAGGTCCTCATTGTGTTTTTTCAGAGCTTAAAATGTCAAGACCAATGATTGGTAGAGATTTGTTCACAAACCTGAATTCAGATGACAGAATTATAGAGCAGGTGTGAACTTTTGTGGCCCCTTTGTCTTATCCAACTTGCAGAGTGGTCTTAATCCCTGAGACCTCAAAATCCATGGCCTCCTCAGTATTCATGCTCCTAAAGAGAAATGGATTTCCTTTGCAATAAATAGTGGGGCAGAAAGGGAGGATTTGTGTTTTCAGTTATCAACAGTTGTGATTCTTTATTACCTGATGCTATGAATCTTTGTGATATCTTAATATGTGGTCATTGACCCTTGGCTGGATTACATCTAATAAAAAGGAACTCATTACCTTATATTGAAGCCTCAAGGACAGTTCTGGATTTTACAGAGTTATTTCTTTATAATCAGCTGAAATCATATTCCTTGTAACTTTGGCTAATTAGTCTCAGTTTTTTCCCTCTAGAGCAAGATGCTAAAATACTTCTGCTCCTTCTATGACACAACCCAAATGTCGTGTGAAACTGAAAAGAAGTCTTCTACCACTTTATTTTTTGGTCAGACTTTGAAAAAGCATGCAATTACATTTAATTTAACTGAATAACTTGTGAGACTCTCCTATTTGTTTTGAACTGTTCTTAAGCAATACTGACTTTTCCTCTCTGAATGTTTTCTAATAAGCAAGGTGAATTGAGAATTTTCTAGTTTAATAAATCTGTAAGTGTAGTTTAAGATCTTCATGAAAGAGAAAGTGTTGGTTATAAATGAAGTGAGTGTTTTT